GGTCAAATGGTAATAGAAAATACTGGTAAATGAATGAAAGTCAATGCAAAGTCCCCATGAGGATAGAAGAACAAACATGTCTGTGTGTGTGTGTGAGGAGGGGACAGTCAGTGAGGAGGGGACAGTCAGTGAGGAGGGGACAGTCAGAGCGCTGCGGGGAGGAAATCAGACAGTTCAGAGTTTTCCTCATGAGTTGTTGGGACAGCTACAGGTTTTCGGGTGTTTAGTTAAAACACAGATGGTGCGTTTAAGTTTCCTGGTATTTTTGGGAGCTACAGGTAAAGTGTTGACGAGTTTGTCGCGGGTCTGGGGGAGTTTCAGCCCCCACCCCTTCTCCTCCTCTCTCTCTCTCTGTGTCTCCCCGCAGCGAAATTTAGGCTCTGCTGCTCCGACACTGCAGCAGCTGCGTTCTGCTTTGTTTCTTTAGTTTGTTATTGCTACAAGCTCTCACGCTAAAGCGAGAGTTGACTCCTCCCACACTAAGACAACAGGAGGGGAGGAGTCAGCTGAGCTCTTGTGCAGCGGAGCACAGAGAGGGAGAGAGACGAAGTAAACAAACAAGCAGGAAAATGAAACTTATCGTCCTCATTTATTTTACCGACCTCAAAAAAAATTATCGTGCAATTAATTGATTTTTTGACTATCGCGACAGGCCTATCAGTGACTTTATTCTTTAATCTGAAGTGGATCAGTTCTTGTTCCTGAGTGATGGAGCAGGAGACCAGGGGAGTCCAGTCCTTGACATGGTCCTGATCCTGGTCCTGGTCCTGGTACACAACCAGCCTGCAGGTTGTAGTTCTGCTACCAGAACATCAGCCTCACTAACCAGTAATCCACTAAACAAGAACTCTGCTAATGCTAAACTGCTAAACAGGTAATAAATTAGCTGAAGCTAACGCTAACCGCTAACATGACTGTCAGCTGAAGCCTGGTGGACTGACATAAACCTGTTGTTACGTTTCTATTGGTTTAATTTGAAGGTGGGCCGGATCTGTTGCTAATTGACCAATCCAAACCAAAGGAAACATCCAGTTCACCCCTTTCAGAATAAAAGTCTTTTATTTTGACTAGTTTGTATTTTATAAATACCGTTTGAAGTTACTC